AATTTAAAAATGTAATTGATTTATGATGCATAACAGAAATATACGCTGCTTGTCATGGTCAAATAAAAATTGAGCTATAAAAACTAAACTATTTTTTTATTGGGTGTAGTGATTTCTGTATGGTGTATATTTTCGTCTATGAGAATACTACTGCCTAGCACTGTACCTTTTACAGTCTGACTTGCAACTTTTTGGCCATTTCGTTGCTGCCCTTCGTTTTGGCTGTTTTCGTGTTTTATATTCTCAAAGACATATGCCGCTGCTGCAGAACTCGTAGATAAATTTTTTCTTTGGTTTTGGGTTGTGCTCCTTTATTTTTATTTTCTGCGCAAAGTAAACTCTCTATATGTGAGTGTGTGGTAACTTTATGAATACTATACATATGTAGACCGACGTACATTTATGCGTGGTTCTGCCCTTTCGCATTTTATATTTGAAATTTTAGAAAAAAATAAACTAGAAACGAAAAGTTTTTGCCAAAGTTGCCCGGGGTCACACGTGTGCTGTCGCTATTGCCCCCTGAAACCGCCCTTCATCAAGCTACTCCCTTTATTATTATTTATTTCTTTATATGTTTGTTCATTTTGTAAGCGAGATTTTGCTCTTTCTCTTTGCTAATTATTAAGCTCATTTCGCAGGCTTTCTATATGCATACGTGTTCGTAAATGTGTGTGTGTGTGTGTGAGTGTGTAAGTTTGTGTGTGTCTGTGTGTGCTTGTGAATGAGGATGTATGGGTGAACCCATAAAAGTATGCAGCGAAACAGGGCGACGGCTGTCTCATAAATCTGCCTGCGCATGTGGACAAATGTCCAAACACAATTCCAACACAACAATTTCATTTGCCGCCCAAAATGAGGCGATGGCGGGGGCGTGGCCATCCCGCAGGCCTCATTTGTATTGCATAATTACTTATTTACACACACCGAACAAAAGAATTCATGTAATCATCGTGTTGCACAAATTACCTTAAGAACTAGGGATTCTTTGCTCAAATGAAATGATTGTTGGTTTATTTTTATAGATTAAAATAATATTGAAATTATAATTGATGAAATACGGCTTAAAAGAATTAACAACAAAAATTATTGAATCATTTAAAACGTTAAAAATTGTGTTATGAAAAAAAAATTGAAAAAAATCCTTTCCTCTGATTTTTGGCTGTTTTATATTTTCTTTAAAAATTCTTTTAAAATGCATACAAAATAAGTTATCATCCCTGAACCACATAAATGCAATATGCCCTTATAAAAAAACATAAGCGGGGTACCAAAAAAAATCTCTACAGAATTTAAGTCATTAAAAAAAAAAAATGTCTAAAAATATGCTGTGAAAAATTAAACGTTGACCTTCGGCATTTATAACAATCTACACGAATTGAGAACTGGAATTTGTGGCCTACTTTTAGACAGAGGTTTTGAACTACTGGAATCCAAATGCATATTACTTGAGGAACCCAATAACCAGTTTGGATTTGATATCGGGCAAATTTATTTTTCGTGTTTGAGATGGAGACTGCAGGGCAACAGTAACTCGGAGAGACTGGGGGGGGATGGCTAGTAAGGTCGGAGGTTAGAGCGAGACGACTGCCTCAAGTTAATTGCTTAATAGTCGAGACATCAATAAATCAAAGAAAAATGCGCGTAAGCATAAAGCAAAAAACGGCGACGACAACAAAGCGAAATGGTTGCTGTGGGCGGTTGGGGGCGAGGTGTTGCGGCTGCTTGCGCAAATGCAAACAGACTGATTGATGGCGGCAAGTGATTTATTTATGTTAATGCGAAGGATTCAGAGGGAGAGTGCCAGCGACATGGCATCAAAGTAGACGAGTGCTGACAGAATTTCCAAATGAGGGGAAAAAGCCAGAAGAAACGGATCCTTTTCATACTATTGCTATTTTTGTATATCACAAAGCAGGGTTCCATTTATTTTAGCAATAATAGATAGCAAAGCCTTCGATAATCGATAACCAATAACGATAGTGGAGTAGATTTGGCGGGAAAATCGGTTCAATATTTCTTGATAGCGTCCCGTTTATTTTAGCAAAGATAGATAGCAAGACTTCGATAGACGATAATTAATAACGATAGTGGGCAAGACTTGGCGGGAAAAATGCCAAACTGGAAGCACAGAGATGAAAGCGGTTCCAAATCGAGGCTTATCGTTGCGTAGAGAGCTCCCACCCTGATCCAAGCCCCTCCATTCCCATTCCGCAGGCACTTCGGTATTTTCACCTGCGACATTTGTCGCTGTACGTGATTCGAGCAACGATTAATCAACTGCGTGGGCGCCGGAGGAAAGCGAGATGAACTCTGGCACTCAGGCGATAACAAAAGCACACGCACGACTCCGATGACGATGTTTCTCTAACTTAAATAAAAAACGCTAAGATACGAGGACATTTTATGGATTTTACTGAAAGGAAGTTGCTAAAAAAACATATTTTATGTTAAAATTAATTATAAAATCATCGAAAAGTATGCAACGAAATATTTTTGAATACAAAAGTCCAAGCGACGACAGACTAAGTTCTTTTTTTACATCATACTCTTAGACACATTTTCAAAACCCTAAACAATTTTACTTTGCTAATGATTGAATAATTTGTGTACTCATTTTAAGTTGTTCATTTGCAAACTCGGTCAAATGCTAGAAATATACGGTGTAAACAGTCTGAGTGACAGCCAGGCGACAAGGAAGACATCAAATGAATTTTAATACGCACCAGGGGAGCCGTCAATAATTAATTGAACAAATGGCCAGCGGCGAGGCTGAAGTTTTTGGACCTCTCGTCTTGTTCTTTTATTGGCGGCGCTTCAATAATTGATTATTGCGAAATGGACTGCGGAAATGGCACAAGTTCATTCAATAATAATTCCGATTCGCCAGCGACAACTTTGTCGTGTTGGTGGCGCCTCTTCGACTGCCCCGAAAATCGCTGCAAATAAAAAATTGGGGAGATGGCCAAGTCTGAGGAGGGGTGGCATGAATAAACATCAATACGAATTTTATTGTGAAAATATTTGTCGCTGCCGGTGTGGTTGGTTAACAACAACAAAAACAGTTACTAAATCTTACAGAGCAAAAAAAATGGGGCAGGTCAAATAAATATTTACATTTTGATATGTGAACCATGTTAAGTCAAAATTTATTTTTCTTTCTGTGTACACATTTCTAGCTTGACAATGACCGCAAACAGATAGAAATAAAGCGAAAGGGCGGAGAAATTATAGAGTAAACAAACAACATGGGAATTTATTGCTGTGCGGTGTGCAAACAAAATGAGAGAAATATCGTACAAACAAAGTTCATTTTAATAGCTTACAAGAGTAAATAATTCCCAAGACATTAGATGTCCAGCCAACACATGTAGGTAACTAGTTTCCTAATCAAAAGTTGTAGCACAAAATATACAGTTGGCAAAAGAATTTTAAATACACTTTGCACTGAAACTTCATATGAAATGTTTGTTAACTTTTTTTGCCCTCTGTACATAGAAATGACTAGTTGTGTACGTATGTTATTATGTTTATCTGCAAAAAAAAACACTTTTAATAATTAAAAAGGCGAGTAAAACAGAGAAAGGGATAAAACAGTACATTAAATATGATACTTCATATTTATAAATTACAGTTTTTGTTTCGTTTTAAAGACAAATAAAATGATAAAAAATATCAACAAAGTTTGTTGAGAAATAACTGCAATTTAAAAATATGTTGAATTTCGGTAGTAAATTAATTTTTTTCAAATCGATTTGGGTTTTTCCATTTGCCTTTTGCTTGACCTTTTTCGTGGCGATGCGTGAACGATGACGTCGCCAGCAATAAAATTGATGTCACGTTTTTATGACGCCGTTGATGAGTCGTTATCTTTGATTTCAGCACGCAGGCTTGCTCTTCGTTTCCTCTCCTCTCCTTTCTACACTCGCCCATTATCCTTGTTTTGTGTCCGAGGCGCAAGTTTACAAAGCCGCATCACTCACCCTCACACCCACCCACACACACACACTCTGAAACACCGGGACACGCACACCCACGCAGACATCGACAATTGCGTCAGGTGGTCGCGGTCTTGCGGTCATTATTCTTCTCCTTTTCTCCGCTTGGCTTTTGTTGTTGTTTCCCCCCCTCCTGTTTTTTTAATTTACGCCCAGTTCAATTTACGCTTTTTGTTTTATCTTCCGCTTATAATTTATTGTTTTTGTCTTTTCTCTTCGTTTCGCTGGCATCTGCAAATTGAAAACAAGATGTAACGCAATCATTGAGGGGTTCGACTAACAGATATCCCCTATTTTGTAACGCGTGAAATACAACGTTTATAAATTACCGAAAGTAAAAATAAATAAATATAAAATCCAAATATTAAATACAATCAATGCATATTTAATTGAATGATTCAATATGAATGTACGTATATTAATTCTATTTAGTAATATTGGATTAAAAATGGGTTCTAATTGTTTTATACGCATTAAATGTGAGCTGCATATTTTAGATATTATAATCAATTTCAAAAATAGTCAAATTAATTAGTAAAAAAAATCTTTTATATATTAACCTGGATTTACTAATTTTTGTTTATCCATGTACAAATATTTTCAAAGTATTTTAGGTCTTCACTTTGTTTTCAGTTTGTTTAGTCATCATAGTACGTACCAATTAATCTTTATAAGATTTGTAAGAGTTTCGTAACTGTCTATATATTATGTTAAGATCTTCCCAAAAATATCTGGTCTGGGTTATCCAAGATATCGCGTTTTCAATGAAACTCTCTTTAACAAGAAAATGTTTGGAGCTTTAAAATTAATATAATTTATTAAGGCGGAAACGAGTGCAACAATATGCCCTTTTTTTAGTTGAACGAATAGTGGGTATAAACAGATGCGCGACCTTTTGTTGTTGGCAAACAACGGCAACAATTGCTGGCGCTTTTTGGTAACTGCTCTTCCCTACCGCCGTTTGTACTTTTGTTTTTCTGCATGCTTTACGAGCGCCGCAGACAACTATAAAACGCAGCAGCAAAAGCAGCAGCAACATCAGCCAATATACAGAAGAGAGAAACAAGATGGTCCTTTACCGTTGTCTGCTCCTGCTCCTAGCTGCGCTGCTGGCGTCGCTGCCCGCCCAAGCCCAGATCCTGAGGGGGGGCCAGTGTCGCCCCACCTTCATTAACGTGCAGTTGGGCGGCACGGTGTGCGAGCGGCTCTGCTACCGCCGCGGCCACCGCGGTCCGCCGATCCTCTGCCGCCGCGTCTACAGCTCGGGAAAGTTGCCTGTCTGCGGCAACGGCTGCTGCATTAGCGGTCCCAACTGCCTCCAGCTCCTCCGCACCTAAAGCAATTAATAATAATAGTTAATAGGGGCCTGTGTGTTCTTGTAGCACTAGTAAAATTATTAAATAAATAGAATAAAACAAATAAAGTGAGTGGTAGACGATGCAGCTCCTCTACATCTTATAATGTTGTTTAAAACAAATAAATAAAGTGGGTGGTAGACGATGCAGCTCCTGTACACCTAAAGCAATATTAATGAAAAACTTAATAGTTCCCTTTTATTGTAGCACCAGACCGATCACACCATTACCATTAAAACGCATATAGCCAACGTGTCGGATGAGTAATAAGTTTAATCGATAAACGATGCAGCTCACACTGCTTTCCAAATTAGAATTTGATAATTTAAATTCAAAAGCCTGAGTATCAAGACCGACCAGTCCGAGCCCCCTTTAATACCCATAATTCCAACATGTGAGTAATTTCCAGAAGAAGAAGGAAGATTCTACTTTAATCGAATTTGACCAGCGATTGTGGCATGTCTAATGCAATTTCAATTAATTCCTGAATTGTAAATTTCACAAAACCAAGCTATTATATATGTATGCATGGGTAACAGCCAACATATGAACCAAGTAATTTAATCACAATTAATTGCGATGACCGCGCTTTAACTGACAACTGCCCTGCAATAACTATTCATACATGTAAATTGCTTTTAAACTCGTAATTCGTATCCACATACACTGACAAAAAATGGAAAGGTAAAAAAAATGACTGACCGCTGAATTTAAAATTGTATATTATATATGTAAATTAATTATGAAATCATAATATTACATGGTTTAATATTAAAAATTGAAGTTAATTAGAAAAACATTAGATTAAAAATGGTTCCTATTTGATTTAAATAAGTTGTTTATGGTTTAAACTTAAATTAAATTTTCAGATATTTAAATCAAATCCGAAAATAGTCAAATGAAAAACTAAACAATTTTTCATATTTAAAATAAGTAAAAACTGCAATGGATGAAAATTAAAGTGAACTATTTTAAATTGAATACAAAATATTTGGATTTATTATATATTTTTTTTTACCAGTGTTCAGGTGTTTTTTTGTTAAGCAAAAAACAATGCAGCCATAAAAGCGTTGAATGCAAGCTATCGCTAAATTTAACTCAATTGATGCCGATTTGTAAACAATTTAATTAACAAGGAGCTGAAAGTACGATATAAACTTTTTGTCTTGGCTAAAGTTGCTGCTATGATCCAATGAAACTTATTTCGGTTAGTGCGTATTTTTTAAAGTTTACCAGTAAAATGAAGGTTCAATGTCCGAAATATATTTACCATGAACATTGGAATGAAAACTGTTAAAAAACTGAAATTACACTCAAAAAATTCAGGGGCACAGAATGAGGGGCACGCAGTGGCCGCGTTTGTCACGAGCGTAACCTCTGGCACAATGACATCCTGTGGGGGATTTCCAGCACCGCTGGCTGGACTCCTGGCAGAAGGACTCGCAACGGCAGATCGGATTGCTCAGCCGACACTCGTAGGGCCCACATCTTCTGGAACCGTCCAGTTCTCCCCGAATAGATGACACCATAAGGAGGAGGAGCAGCAGAACTTCCGGCCAGAGGATTTTCGGCGGCATTATGACCGCTTTCGTTCAAAGCGTTTAGGCTATTTATAGTCGAAACACAACAGATGGCAGGTGTTTAAATAAACAAGTACGTTTAAGTGAAATCAAAACTGGCGCGCTTTCTTAAATGCAGCCCTGAAAGCTTTTAAACAGAAATGGCTCAACAATATTAAAAATATAATTTTGAAGAATTAAATTACTGATGTTGCATTGATTCAATTGATTTAACGGTCGATTTGGCTATTTAAATAATTACCAAACATCGATACCACAGTGTTGATAATCGTTGGAGACGGAAAAACATCGATTAGCTCTACCAAACATCGATAGCACTGATGCATTGAAAACATCGATGACGCCGATAGCACTATCGATGTTTCTTCACCTCTACGCATCAACATTGGTCACACTGCCGCGATCAATATTTTTAAAAAAGATGCTTAACCAGCCAATTAAAAAAATAAATTAAACTCTTAAATTTAAAACGATGGAAGGCAGCAAACTAAGCGCTGTGCGCATTGCAGTCCGCGAGGCTCCGTATCGCCAGTTTTTGGGTCGGCGGGAGCCGAGCGTCGTGGAATTCCCGCCATGGAGCGATGGCAAGGTAAGGCTAACTGTACATGGCTTCCATGACATGGACCTCATAATGTTTTCCAGTCCTTAGTGGTGGAGAGGAATGAGTACCACTTTGACCACACATACCCGTCGACCGTGGGCCAGGAAGTGGTGTACCAGGACCTGATCCAGCCGCTGGTGGAAAGGGTCATTCTGGGGTTCCAGTGCACGGCACTGGCCTATGGCCAGACGGGAACGGGGAAGAGCTACTCGATGGGAATGGCGTCAACGGATAAGGTGAGTTTCACTTTCCAGTCCTCGACTTCCCACGAAACTCTTTTGGAGAGGAAACAAAGTCCTCAAAAGCTAAGAGTAGAGCGTCCACTTTAGCCAAAAAAAAAGAGAGAATCCAGTTTACTCTTTAAAAGAAATTCATACATTTTTCCTCATCCCTTTCTTTTGTTAACTTATATACAGTAAAACATCATGTTTGGTTATTAAGTTAACAATTGCAAGTTAAACTTAAATGTTTGTGATCTAAATCTTAAAATTTCCGATCTTTACAGATTTGTTCTAGTTTGTTCTTTTTAATTACTTATATAAATTTAAAAAAAAATGCTGTTAATTTTAGAATATTTTGTATTTTATTATATTATATTTACTGTAATCCTCTGCATTTTCTATAGCCCGAGCATCTAGGCGTTCTGCCACGCGTTCTTTCCGACATCCTGGATCGGGTGTCAGCCATGAAAGAGAACCGTACAGGTAACACCCAGGTGTTCGCCTCATTCATCGAAATATACAATGAGAAGGCGTACGATCTCCTGGGATCGGAGCCACATGTGCCCATGGTGGCTGCTCGTTGCCATAGATGCACATGCCTGCCATTGAACCGCCAGGAGGATCTGCAGAGCATTTTGAACCTGGGCACTGGGAATCGGCGCGTTCGTGCCACCAACCTGAACACCAGCAGTTCCAGGTCACACGCCGTTGTCACGATCCATGTGAAGAGTAGCACCTTCCATTCGCGGATGAACATTGTGGACCTGGCCGGATCGGAGGGCGTGAGGCGCACCGGACACGAGGGCGTGGCCAGGCAGGAGGGCGTCAACATCAATTTGGGCCTGCTCAGCATCAACAAGGTGGTGATGTCCATGGCGGCGGGCCACACGGTGATTCCCTACCGCGACAGCGTCCTCACCACCGTTTTGCAGGGTGAGTGGATCCGTTTTTGGGTCACAAGTAATGTCAAAGGTGAAGCAGAAAATGATTAAAACAGGATTGAATTTGATTGATTTCTAACTCAATTAATTGTTATACAAATATTACTCACTTTCCTTTCTTTCATTAATTCGTTTTGGGATCCACTGACACATCAAATAATAGTTATTAATTGGATTGAAAAAATATTTTAACACAAATTAATGATGATTTGTTAATTTTAACCTTAATTGCTCAAAAAATAATAACATTGTTGTAAATAAACTAGTGTCGATAAGATTGTTATGTTAGCTTAACAAGCAAATTAAGACGAAACAAACACCAAATTTCGAATATAAAATTTTTTTATTTACACTTTTAGTAAATATATTTTTCTAATACTAATTTTTGCAATCATTAATACTACTCAAACTGTGATCACATTCTTTTTCAAATGTGCTTTCATTTTATTGAAATGTATATATTTTTTAATGTCACCAGTTATCATGTATTTTTTTAAAAACAAAAATCCAAGCTGTGTTTTTAAGCAAAAGAATTATTTAAAATATTTATTAAAAGTGTAATTATTTTGTTAGAAATATTTGTAACAACAAAATATCATATACACATGGTTATTACAATATTTTATAGAGAATACCCTAATTGATGTGCGTACTTATCGCCTTTTCCCCCTGATCCTTTGCAGAATCACTCACCGCCCAGTCGTTTCTCACCTTCCTGGCCTGCATAAGTCCCCATCGCTGCGATCTGAGCGAGACATTGTCGACTCTGCGCTTCGGCACCAGCGCCAAGAAGCTGCGCCTGAATCCGATGCAAATGGCACGCCGGAAGGTAACCACCTGCTACTTTCCTATATGTTTAAGAAGTTCATATAGCCCAAGCTCTCTTCGATTTCAGAATTTGCTGGCCGCACGGACGCCAAGCATGCTCCGTGTGAACAGCTCGACAGCTATCAAACGCGACTTCAATCAGCACTCCGCAAACATGCTCCACCGCACTCGCTCCGAGCTGGGCATGACACCCAAAGCCAAAAAAAGGTGACTAACTTAAATTACCTGGTAAACACTAGCTCAAGAAACTGACCAATTAGGCAAAACTCCTTGCTCCGCCCAAAAATCCTTAAAAACCCCGTCCATAGGAAACATCACCACAATAATAGAGTTGCCCAAAGAAACCAAAATATAGCATAACATCTAAACACATATAGAACTACTAAAACATTTCCATACAATATTTTTCATTAATAAATATAAATCAATTAATTATACAATATACACACTATCCTTATATGTAATATGGCTACTACTGTACGTTCCCATGTTTGGTTTTGGTTTTGTAAATAATAATAATAAGATATCTTATTCCGTTTTACAGCGCACGCGAGTTATTGAAGCTGGAGGAGCACTCGTCCATAGACATCTCGGACAGTAGCCTCAGTTTTGTGGGTTTCCAGGGCGAAATCAACAGGTACCAGGACCAAGACCAGGATCAGCAAATGATGCCGCCACCTGGACAACCCGGTCAGCCCAGCAGCCTGCACTCCACCGCAGTGAGCATTGCCGAAGGGGAGGAGAATGAGCCGAAGCAGGCAGTTGCGATGCAGCAGTCGGCCATGTCCATGTCCATGTCGACCATTGTGAGTCCCATTGGTCTGCGGCCAGCCAGCATACAGCAGGAAATCAGCGGAATTCAAGCTTTGGGGGAGAGCTGTGTGGAGCAGTCTTCCTGGTCACGGTCCCATGTACGTCGCTCTGCGCGTCTGGCGAACATCTTTGCGGTGGACACCTCCAACACCTCCGATGCCACGATCCCACACAGAAGCACATCAAATTTGCGGCGCAGCAGGCGACTGGCGGAAATTCGGGAACGTAGCGCTTCTGCCGTCGCAAGAATGGAGACCAGCCGTGTAGCCACAGTTCGTCCTCAACAAAGCACCACACAGAGCGAAGGGACGCGTTCGAGGAACGTTCGAGATCCTCCAGCAGCCGAAGCTTGGATGGCCAGTCATCACCGCTGCTTCCTGGACATGCTCAACAACGGCGGCCTGAGGGAGCTGCAGAGAATTCCCGGAATCGGTCCGAAGACAGCCTTTACCTTGAGCATGCACAGGTGAGCATAAAAAGTGCTTGTAGCCAAGTGGAAACCAATCATTTGTATCCCCCTTTTTTTTTTTTGCAGATCTCGCCTTGGTTGCTTCAACGATCTTGAGCAAGTAAAAGGACTACCCATTTGGCCCGGAAAAAGCTGGGACAGGTTCAGTCAAGTAAACTGTCTGGATCTCTAATATATGTAACTTAGAATACGATTTATTTTATGTGTAATATTCGTGTCAAATTTTGTGTTTTTTTTTTTTTTTAATTTTTGTCCCTGATGTACCAAAAAGTCTATATAATTTAGACAATTTATAAGTTTATAATATAAGTAAAATCAGAGTGGAGCAGGATATCCTAACATTAAACAAATAAAATAAGTGTTAGTTAAGCATCTCTGAGTGTTATTTAAGCCTTTCTGATCAAGTTTATTTTTTTATTGTTTGTGATTTTTTCTAATTCAATGAATGAAATATAATAATAAGACTTAAAATAAGCCCTTTGTAAACAAAATATATGAACACGAAGAAATCGATTTGTTTTAAAAGTCAAACAACTTAGTCAATGCAAAATCTCATAAGATTCTCAATTCAAACGTTTTTATATATGTCATAGAAAAAGCTATTTAAAGATTCTTAGTAATGTTCTAATCTTTTTATATGTTTTTAAAGCAGAAGTCGGAACGTATCAATTCCTCGATAGTATAGTGGTTAGTATCCCCGCCTGTCACGCGGGAGACCGGGGTTCAATTCCCCGTCGGGGAGGGTATTCGCTTTTTTTTTATATACTTTTTTGTTTGCAAAATAAAAATCTCCCAGGTGACTTGACCCAAATTTATTTAATTATATTCATTTAAAAATAAACTTGTTTAGAGATCAATTTAAGCATACTTTTGGGGGTCTTTGTCTGAAAATAAATCAGTTGCAATCAAATACATTTGAAATATGTTATCATCAACCAAATATGTTACCATATCATATTAAAATATTTATTTAAAGCTAGCAGTATTACTTACCATTAAATCTTGCAAATGTATTTATGTCTACTTAAATTTCTATCAGTCACAATGCTTTTATTGGTCTAGCATAGATTTTGGCATCTTAAAAGATATATATTTGCTTAAATATTTATGTCGTA